CTGACATCAGAATCTCTCAGGTCCCGATTTTTTTAAAAAGGAGTTGGAAAGGTAGGATACAACATGCATTGAATCAAGATAGAAGCTGATATTATGGAGAAGAAAAGGGTAAAGAAAGGGCATGATTAAGACTGACCAATATTTTGCCTCTTAAACTTACCTTCCACTATTGTTTACCTTCAACTATTCAAGGACTACCAGAAGCTGAACATAACTTATTTTTGTAATGTGTGGTCCATAAAAAAGCAACTAGCTGATACTTATAACATCCACAAACATAGCTTTCAAAAGGTTTATAAAGATTTTTTTAAATAAAATAAGCTGACTTAATAAATTTGTTTCCATAAATAATTATAGTATCATAATTACTTACTTAGAACTTTCTGGAATAAAGATCCCTACCAGAAACTTTTTTCACTTACTGCATCCCCAACATGCTCTAGCCTTCTAAAACTCAGGTCCAAACTTCTTGTTCTCCATCTAATATTACCTTGAATCCTAAACACTTTAAGAGGAAAATATCTTCTAAAAGAAAGAAAAAGGGCAATTGGGTGGAAAAATATAACTATAACTCTTTAATCTCTTCCTTTTAACCCATTTTTCTCCACAAATTTTTAAAAAGACTCATCAAGGATATACACTCTCTATCACCATACACACATCTCCTTAACAATTTTCATCTAATACAAATTACTACAAAAGATGCTATTCAAATAAACCAAGTGATAGTTTTCATGGTATTATAACAGACTATTCACTTAGACAGTATACTTAATAATAGAAATTGATGACAACAGGCACTCAGCAGATATGATAATACTAAGTTTCAATTCATTCAGAGAAAAAAAAAAAAGTCCAAATATTGGGTTGTTGGAAAAGTCATGATACATTTTTGCAACGAAAAACATTGAAAAAATATATCATGACTTTTCCGACAATCCAATAATTAAACTAGCGTCCAAGCTATTTTACAATATTTGTTACCTTGGTCAAACCAGTGCTACAAAAGTAAACAGCATTCTGCAACAGCTTATTCTAGCTCGTGGAAATATAATCTGGGTACCATCAGTAAAAATATTTCAGCTAACACTGGTGATTCTGTGTAAATACAATCCAATATAATTCAACCAGTATGCCCAATAAGTGTGTCTCAAAGATTCTATTTTAATTCTATTTTAAGAGGAAGAAATATGACAAGGAGAGAATTGTGATGCATTTCTTTTATGTACACTTGTTCTTCTTTATATCTAATCAATATCAACTACCCTAATATTCTCCTTTTGGAACTACTGGTTCAGTATATTGCTTTCTAGGCCTACTTCCTTCTCCATTCAAAATAATGCACACAGTCAATTCAGAAAACACTAGAAGAGCAAACACATTCATGGAAAGGGGGGGGGAAAGCTAGAGAGCTAGCACAGGACAGTCAGGAATCAATGATGGAAGAGGGAAATAATCTAATGTTTAACAATGTTAGTTAAACTTTATGAAAAAGATGCAAACAACAAATTAAGTTTTATAAGTGAGGTATGCTAAAATGAACTACCAACCAATATAAATACAGAGCATGATCTGAGTCTATGACAATTTAGTAAATATACTAAAGCATATAAACACATCCTGAATGTCTTAGCCATAATCAGTAGATGAGATAGAATTCTCTTATCAACAAATATATATAAAAATGAAGGACGTGTTTGATTACAAGAGATATTTAATTCTCAGAATGGCACAAAGTTTGGCCAAGAGGAGAAAATTGTTGAAAGTGTAGGAGGTGACATTCCATTTCTTAAACTGAGCCGAATGTGTATGAATGTTGGCTGCATTGTTATTCTTTATACTTTATACATTTTAAAGTATCATTTCATATGTAGTTAATACTTATAAAACAATATTCAAGTGTGAGAAAAATCTGAGCAAACGATTGACGATGGAAGAAGTAAAATGTACATATGCATCCAATCCATTTTTGTTAAGTTACTTTTAAAGATAAAATAGAGGTCATAAAACTGAGTAGGTAAAAAACAGAAAATTTCTCTTTAATTTTCCTGGAGAAAATTAGCAGTAACGGTTTACTGGTGCTTTTAAAGAGATACTATAGTATACACACAAACACACACACACATCAACCTACTTGAAGGTAACTTTCTACCTCTAAAGCAGCGGTTCTCAACCTGTGGGTCGCGACCCCTTTGGGGGTCAAACGACCCTTTCACAGGGGTCGCCGGGTACTCGTATGTGGGCGTATCTGCATGTGGGCCTGGAGACGGATAGAGGAGTGGTGTCTCGGTTCCTAAGACCATCGAAAATATGTGTTTTCCGATGGTCTTAGGCGACCCCTGTGAAAGGTTGAGAACCGCTGCTCTAAAGCTTCCCCAAAGCCAAATATTTCCCTAACCACATAAAAAGTGCTGATACTCCTCTACTCATAATCCCAGAAATAAACTTAAAAAATAAATTTCTAGAGAGAAATATTCATATTGTATTTTTTGGTGTATTTGTAGGCTTCATATTTATGTGTCTTACTACTTACTTAGGTTTAGACACATCTATAGTATTTGCTTTATCATGGGAACCTGCATTTTAATGTGCGTCAATACGAATTTGATTGAGAGGGTAATACAGCATGCTGGTGAAGAGCACAGAGCATGGATCAGAGTTCCTGAGCTGAAGCTCGGCTCGTGTACTTGCTAGCTAAATAATCTTGGGCAAGTTATTAGTTTTAGTTTCTCAACTGTAAAATGGAAATAACAGTACATACCTCATTGGGTAATGAAACTGATTACACATGTATAACAGGTCTGGCACAGAGCAGGTCCTGTGTAAGAATGAGTTATTACTACTAGTACTACTTCTGGCAATGGTATTGCACCATATTCCCAAATACTGAAAATATTTTCAGCAATTTGAATTGACTAAAATTAGATACTATTAAAAAATAGACATTAAATCTGAAGACTGATTAACAGTAAGTTAAAAGCCCTGCAACTTTGAAAAAAAATAGGTGATTAATAAATCTACATAACCACTCTATCAAGAACAATCCAAGGAGAGAGTGGCTTTCTGAAGTGCAACTATCAATTTCTTCCCTTACACAAGGGGGCAGTGATAACAAGAAAAGAATGGGGCTCCGCAACACCTCTTCCTACAGACAGTAGGGGGTGGCAGTACATATGGCTTACAGTCAGAACAAAACAGGAAGACCCAACAGAACTGCTCTTTATTCTCTCTGGCCTTCTCTCTTCTTTAAGCCCCAACATAGCCTCTAGATGAGGGATATATCTACAGAAAAGACCAAAACCCAAAATTAATCACCAAGGAAAATCCAGTTTGCCTTTGAAGCAAATGATTTCTCAATGGCTGAATTTGGATCTAGGAGGAAGCCAATCAGTATTAATTTTCAGATCCTGGCAAATTACTTACTATTCCTATTACAAGAACAACATTCAGGCAAGTAATTCAATTTCTCTCCAAGAATTATAACATAAAACACTGAAATCTATCAATACTTAACCATATCCTAATGAACACATCTAGATATTTCTGCTTGTTTCATAGTATATAGACAGTAATTGAACGTATACATATAAGTTACATTAAATAGCTCATGAAGCTAGCTGTCTTTTGTTATTACTTCTGAAATTCCAGCTATGTTCTGACAATTCTCTCAAAACACGTATGTTCTCCTTAAATGGAAGTCACAATGTTTTGCAGCATGTGGGTAACAGCAGATAGATAGATAGATAGATAGATAGATAGACAGACAGATAAGATAAATATAATTTTATTTTTTGTGCTCACATTCTGAAGATGATCCACCTGAGAAATGATGCAAGCACTCCACTGACAGAATCCATGTTGTTGCTTTTTATGCCACATTTACTGTATTCCATTTTTTCCCCTATTTTGCAACCCCAACACCAAGAACATGCAAGAATATATCACTACTGTCATTCACTGTAATTAACCATTGCAATTGCTTTTGGCTCCAACCCCTCAAAACGCCTGAAAATTTATCCCTTTTGTTCACCATATTGTTTTTGTTTTCCTCATTCCAGATATTTTCAACTGTGTAAAAATGAAGAAAGGGATACACGAAAAAAAATTTCCTTTGCCTAATTATCTTCAACTTAGAATTATGGTCAAGATGTGGTGGTGGTGGTGGGGGGGGGGGTTGTATGTTTGGTTTTTTCTTTTCTGGGAGGGGAGCACAGAGTGAAAGACACCCAAAACATCAAACCTCCTTCATGTTAATTATCACTGTTTATGTTCTGTGATAAACATTTTAAACATTCCACACCTGGAATAGAAGACAGGATACAATTGTATCAGTGCTCTATATGCTGATGTCAAAACCTGGTATTATTTTCGCCCTATTTTTTCTTTCCCATCTCACAACCAGACACAATTTGCTTTTCCCTTTCACGTGGGTACTATCTCTATCTCCAAAAATTGCATATCATAGCTCCTCTCGATTTCCTGTGAAAAAATATCTAGCAATGAGCCTTATTAATCCTTTCTTACACTACGCCTCCTTTCCCAGCGGAATTATCAGTTATCACTAATAACATTTCCACCATGAATTTCAACGCCACACAGGCCAGCCCACCCTGTGCCTCACCTGGCACATTTCACAACTACTTTTATGCTGCATTCTGGGGGCACATTTTGCAACTCGTTCTGCACCACATTCTCTGCCACGTTTAGCAATCTGCTTCGCATCTCATCCTGGGTCCCGTCATCCGGAGACTCTCTTGGTACCAAATTCCATGACACCTCTGGTGACACCGAAGTGACCGACCCCGGACCTATCTGAAGCCACCCTGAGTGTCACATTTGGAGCCAACCTTCCCCACGCCTTGGACACAGGAGGCACTTCGCTGCTCATTTGGCTGTCTCCCCGCTCGCTCCCGCCCCTCTCCCTGGAGCCGAGGCATTGGGGACAAACGCCCCTGTCACTGAAGCGACCTCTCCTTCCCCTGCTCCCCCAGGTCTCTTACCTGCCGCTCTGAGGGGCTCGCTGCACCTCGGGGTCAAGCCCCAGTCCCCGGGGTCTTCTAGGAGAACTGCGCCGCCCGCCGGCGCCGCCCGCGATTCCCAGAGCACCTCGCTGAGTTCCGACGCCCGCGGCGGGTCTGCGCCCCGGGAAGGCGCCGCGGGGCCTCGAGGCCGGCGCACACAAGCCGCGGCGGTCCTCCTGTCAGCGGCGGCGCGGGTGCAAGCTCTAGCCCCACAGCGCAGCGGCAGCGGCGGCGGCGGCGGCGGCGGCGGCGGCGGCAGCGGCGGCGGCGTCGGGCGCCTCGCTCCGCCTCGCGCGCGGTACAGCCGGGAGGTGAGCGCGAGGGGGATGGGAACGGAGGCGGGGCCGCCCGGAGGAGGCGCAGAGGGCGGCGGCGGGAGAGCAGCGCCCGCGGCCCCGGGCCCGGCGCTCAGAGAGCTCGCAGCTTCCCCCTCCCCGCGGGCGGCTCGCGTGAGGCGGCTATGCCAGCGGGCCCCGCCGGAGCAGCGCGCCCAGCAATCCGTGCCCAACCGGCCGCTCGCTAGCGCCGCCGCCGCGCCGGGGGCGTCGCACCCTTCGAGGCCGCCCGCAGCCCCGCCCCCTCCGGGCTGGGGTGGGGAGGGGCGGGCGCGCGGAGGGAGAGCGCGTGCGTGAGGGCGCGTGCGTGGTGGAGCACGCGCGCCCCCACCCCCGCCCCCTCCACAGTTTGGGGGTGGGGAGCTACTAGAAGAGAGAGTGCAGACCCCAACCCTTTGCTGTGCTGAGAGGTTGGGCCCTGGCTCTGCCGCTCTGTCAGGTCTGGACATTTCTTGTTCCCTCAGGGGGCTGTGACTGGTGGGGTCGTAGGCAATTAGTGGAGAAGCGGGGAGGAAGCTCAATAGCAGACAAGGCCCTAGTCGGCTCCGCCCCCAGAGGTGATGTCACTCTCGAGGTGCTGCTGCTGTCACGTGCGCCCACTTCTAGGCCTGTCCTCCTGCTTTGATGGCCAGAACGTTCCTGTATTTTCGTCCACTTCGGTCACCTTATGCACATATCACTCCTGGAGTCTTAGAAACCTCCAGATGTCAGTTATTCCTTCCCTATACCCAATTCCTAAGTACAGACTGTTTCAAAATGCCACAGCTGACTATGGTGGGAATCGGAATGAAGTGGAAAGCCAGGATGGGTGGGGTAGAAGTAGTGGGAAGGGAAGAGAGAGAGAAGCGAGGCTGCGTTATCTAGAATAATTGCTGAAAAATTCACCAACCACAGCTGGAGCGCCTGAGGTGAAGTTGTGACGCTGCTTCTGTCACTCCCTGGTTGGACAAGAAGTAATGTGGTTTTAAAAGGCAATGGGCAAAGCACGGAAAGTCACCACATTAAAGCCTCCTTGAAGGTCATATTTCTCTCCCCCACCCTCCACCTAGATCTTCTTCTCCTTTACTCTTCCTTTCCCTTGCATTATAAAACAGCAAGTCAACTGTGGAAGACACCTGAACATAAATTTTCTTCCTGTGCTATGAAATGATGCAAAGCAATCACTATTACATGCCCTGCCTGGCTAGTCTTTCTTTCCATAAACTGAGAGGACCTTTCATGGTCATCCATTTCTTAATGAGACGCCATGATTGGAAATAGATGCACCAAATTACTTCAGTCAAGGAACCTGTGTCTGTGGGTTTTTTAGAAAGGTTGGTTTGTTGGATAACAGTCCTTTGAACCTACTTCATCCAGGAGTTACTTTGGTTTTCTAAAAATTAGTATTAATTTCAGAATATACAAGAAATTGAATACAAAGCCATCTCCAACAGCTAGCTTCTACAGTGAGTGCTTGAAAGGTTAGAGCTACAGCAACTTTGAACACTACGGCTAAAATGGCAAGGTGAAGGAGTGGTGTATGGAATCTTTGAGTGATGACTCCAAAAAGTTAGATTACTCTAAAGTCTATCTAGGTGTGGTGATAGAGGCAGAGTAGTGATTTCTTATGAGGGAATTAACTGAGAGGGGCAGGAGGGAGTATTCTGGGTTGCTGGAAACATTCAATGTCTTGATCTACAATAGTTATTGATTACAAAGGTTAATATATGTGCAAAAATATTTGTTTGCTTCACTGTATCTCAGTTTTTGAGCATCACACAAAGAGACATTACAATGTCATCATGATTGGCGTCAGGAGCCCTAGGTTTGAATTTCAGTGTCATCCGCCATTTACCAGCTATGTGATCTTGACCAACTGTGTGAGCATTGTTTGCTTCATCTAATGTGGATGATGATACCTCACAGGGCGGTAATAAAGATTAAATGAAATTATGTTTGAAAAACACTTAGCACAGAACCTGGTATATAATGAGTGCCCGGAAACAGTAGCTATTGTGTTACTCTTCTTGCACTCAAATTTACCCTATTGAATTCTCCCTTGGCCTTTTTTTATTTATTTTAAAGATTACTTTGTATCTAAGCCTTGCCTGTGAGTTTCACTGAGGCTAATAACATTCCTTTCCTTAAGAATTAACAAAAGGCAGTCAGGGGTGTAATGTGTTGATTGTCAAACTAGTTCAGGTGGCAGCACTCAGAAATTATGGTGCTCATTCTGGAACGCTGTGAAATATTGATAGATTTAATTCTGCCATATGGACTCGATACAATTTTACTAGCACTAAATCTGGCTATATTATGGTTGTGCTGATC